AATTGTTGTAACGGCAAGAGACTGCTGCTTTGGGTTTATTCTTCACGACCCCAGAAGAAGCCGAGCCTTATTTACATGATGCTTTCCAAGCCTCGAAGAAGACTCGAGAGGGCATGTTCCTGGAACCCTAGTGGCGCTCTTTTTGATCTTATTTGGAGGGAAATCAATGAAATCAACCAACTGAACGAGCGTGGGCTCCAGGTGAGGCAAGCCTTAAATTCTGGCGGGTTCCGGGGTAGCGGGGGGCATGTGTTGTATTGTTTCTCATCCATGCAGGAATAGCGCTGCGCACGGCTGGGCCTTTTGAAGCGTCAAGCGCCGGCAAGCAAGCAAGCGCGCTCGATCGTGTGGGGACGCATCTTTGACTAGCACGCCGTGCGATACGCGCATAACAGCTGATGCTTTCTTGGTTGTTCCGCTTTGACAGGGATTCCCATATAGAATCTAATCTGTTCTTGCAAGGGCTGTTATTCTAAGTATCTAAACTGAATTCTGCCCAAAAAGCACCTTTGCATGTGAATGAAGCCCTGCAGTTTAAACTTGCGCACAAGGCACAAGGTCGTTCACTCCTTTCAAACATTGCATTTCCCTTCAGTCTCTGCACGGCCAGCTTGTTTTTGATTTTCGTTTTTTCTTGGAATCAGACATTCAAATGCCAAACAGGAATACAAGGAAAGAGGCTAAGATAAGTGCAGCGACTCTACCTTCAGCATTTTACAACAATCCATGTAGAGGACCCGTGGGTAGCTATTCACAACTCGCAGGTACCAACAGTCTTCAGCAGAGCAAACGTACAACTAACTCAGGATATCAAACCTCAAAAGCACAAACAAGTGCACTGTCCCTTTTTTGGGGAACCCCCCTAAAATGTGGTTTTCCTTTAGGTTTCCCTTTAAGCCACAAAAAGGCGGACCCCTGTCAAACAAGAACACCCTAGTTGCGCAGTTGGGAGCTTTGTGGCGCGTGCAAGGCGCGTGCGTCGCTCGATGGCAGGAAGCTTGCTGCGTGTAACTACCTCCCTGGGGCTCAAGCCACCATAAAAATAACACAAGGATTGTCATCATCCAAGGTGGGTCCACCATATTTTTGCCAGTCAGTGGAACACCTAGAGACTGGCCGCGCAGCGTCAAAACTCGCGCGCGTTGGCGGCCCAAGACGGAAGCCTGAGCAAGAAAACCAAGAGGATGAACGCGAAGCAGGGGCGCCTTGTAAATTGCATAAACCCTGAGCATAAGAAGGGTGGTTGAGAATCAGGTTTGTGTTTTTGCGACCCTAGTCCGTTTAGGTATACACGTGAATTGGCGGGCCAGCTTCGTGGGCCAAGTCTCGCGGAAGCAAGAAGCCGATGAAACATGTACCACGGAAACAACCCTTGAGGTTCACGGAAGCTTCAATAATTCCCAGGCAAGGATGCAGGTGGAAACGATACGCGGGGATGCGACGCGGGGTGCGAAGATTTCTTTGGCCAGGCTTGCAATGCCACAGCCGCTGCAGCCGCAGCCGCCACAACAGCAGCAGCAGCAGCAGCCGCAGTCGCAGCCGCAGCCGCCGCAGCCGCAGCCGCAGCAGAAGCAGCAGCCGTTGCAGCCGCAGCCGCAGCCGCTGCAGCCGCAGCCACTGCAGCCGCTGCAGCCGCTGCAGCCGCAGCCACAGCAGCAACGACAGCCAGGCGCTTGTGTGGTCCGACCAAGCATGAGACCTGGCCGCAGCTTAAGTTGGGCAACACAGCTGTTTTTCACAGCCTTACCAAACAGCGCCCTTGCACTAGGTTCACTATTCGCCGATGCAGCAAGGTGGGCAGTTAACAACTGACGGTATTTTCAACTTTACCTGTAACACAACCCGTTTCATCTACGTTCAGAGCCTTTCAGAGTCTGCTCTAGGAGTCTTGTCAAGAACCCCTAGGACCCCTAAAGTAAATAGATAGATTGAACTCCCTTGATCGAAACATTGCTGAAGATATAAACCAGAAGAAAACTGATCCTTTGATGCAGCTTTGACGCTTTGCCACTGTCCAACAGCAACACATGACAAAGGTCTTGGTCACACAGCTCGAGTTACTGTGAACATGTTTAAATGCATTGACCTGCCATATAGCCAGCTCATGCCCACACGAGAGGTGAATTCAAAATTATCGGAGTTGCTGTTTGATTTATTTTGCTCGCTGTTTGTGTTTGACGGTATTTCACGTTTTGTGCCAACAGTTGTGTTTCACCCAAGGATCGCTTGCAACGGCGCTGCAGCCAATGTGGCGGCTGCGTTTCCAGCATCGGCGACCGCAGCAAGATCGGAGAGCGCGCCCCCATCTGCGGCCTCTAGACCTGGGTCGTTAGCAGGTTCGGCCACCTTTCCGGTGGCGGTTTTGCAGGCGGCTTTGCCTGCAACGCCTACGGCCGTGCCTGTTGCGGTTGCTGCGCCGGCCACACCGGCAAGCGCAGTGCCAGTCGCAGCCACTTTGCCAACGCCGCCCACATTCACGCCACACGCATCACATGCCTCCGGGACAGCCGCGGCCCACATGCCTGAGTTTGTGGACCCGTTCCAGGAGCAGTCGAATGCGCAGTGGATAAACATGGAGTTGTTTCTAGTGTCCCATTGGTTTGATTGTTTCATGTCGAAACTACAGGGTACACTTGAGTCAAGCGCCTATCATAAAAGGGTGTGGCTGAAGCTATAGTTTGGGGTGTTCAAAGGCAATCCTTGCTTCTTACCTTGGGTGGCGAAAGGCTTCCCTTTGTGGTATGGGGCTTAGGCCAAGACTCCAGTCCAGAAGGTGAGCAGCCAACTCCCCAACTCCCATTGGCCACTGTTTAATATGTTCTATTGCAGGGTTTCACTGGGATCAGGATGAATGAGCCCATCTTGACTCTTGGGCGCACGTGGCAAGGAGCAAAGAGAGCCTGGACGTTTCCGTAGCCCCTGCGCGCGCAGCTTGCCCGCGCAGATCTTTTCTCAGGCTCCGGATGAAGATTGGACTGGCCTCCAGGAATGGGCATTACTTCTGGGTGAATGATAACGACCTCACACGACCACCCCAAATTGGGGTTTATCTGGGCTAGCCCCCCAACCACCTTATTTCAGGTTGGGGAACTATTATTCTAGGAATACCTGGAAGCCGTTTGTGTTCAAGAAAAAGGGCGCGTAGCTGAAACCTGGGTTTACAGGTTATGAGCCCAAGGAGGACGCGGTGAAGCCATGGCGTCTCCAGGAGACCTCGGACGGCGAGAACCGGAAGAGGCGGAGGAGAGCCTGGAGCTGGTTGGGCAGGAGCTGGTGCCGGTTGGCGCCAAGGGCAAGGGGAACTCCGGTGGGAAGAGATCCGCGGAGGAGCTCGACACGCCAAGGAGGTCGACTTCGGGAAGAACGGCCCTTCAAGAAGGCTCCCGCGGTCGAGAAGGCAAAGGAGACGGAGAAGAACAATGGGCAGGTGGGCCACGTGGCGACCCTGTGGTTCTGGAACCCTTGTTCAATGAGGCCCAGATGGAGACCCTGACTCGGTGGCGGAGAGAAGCCCCCTTGATTCATGGCACCCGGATGGACCAAGAGAGACCTCGGCATCTACCTGAACCTATGGAGGCGGGTATGGAGCTGGCGGGCGCTACGAGCAGGATGTCGCCGGCGGCAAGAATGCCTGTGGAGAACCAGGAGTACGTGATGCGGCTGGTGAACGAGCTCATGGCGCAGAACCAGTGCCTGATGAGGGAGATTGAGAGCCTGAAGAACGGCAAGGCGGTGGAAGAGAGCTATGGTACCCCGGACAGTCGGGACAAGAGCAAGGTGCTTAGCATCGAGGACAAGAAGAGTGGGGACAACAGCCGGAAGCCCATGGAGGTGATGGGAGGTAACGTGGACGTGAGCTATGGCCAGAATGTGCGCGACCAGGGCATGAACCCGGACATGGCCAACGGCAAGAACAATGGAGGTGAACATGAAGATGATGATGAATCTTCATCAGAGCTGAGGCCGGCATCGGTGGCGGGCAGTGGAAAGAACGGGAAGCAGATGGACGTCATTCTGAAGCTGCTGGAGGGGATGCAGGCCATGCAACAGCAGTTGATGGGTGGTGCCGGGAAAGGAAATCAGGAGACGGTGGAGGTGGTTCGCCCTGGCATCACTGAGCTGCCGAAGCTGAGTGAACCTACGGCGGAGTCAGGCCCCATTGATCTGGGTGACTGGATGATCATCATAGAGCCGCTCCTCGCTGATTTGAGTGATTCGAGCGCTGAGTGGTGGCAGCTCATGGTCACCGAGGCCAAGGAATGGTATGCCCGCTACTTGCAGGAAGTCCCCATCAAGCGGATGAACATGATCCCGGAGACACCTACATCCTTGAAGGTGAAGAAGTGGAGTCGGGTGGAAAGAAGAGCGGTATCGATGCTGATCCAGGCGGTGCCGGAAGGAATCCGTGATGAGCTGATCTCGTCGCAGGCCGTTACGACGTTTGCGGTTCTGTGCAAGCTGATGATCGCTTATCAGCCGGGAGGATTGGCGGAGAAGGCCGTGGTGTTGAGGAATTTGGAGGAGCCAGGGGAAGCTCTATCGGTGGCGGAAGCGGTGAAGGGGCTGAGACGTTGGGTCAGATGGCGGCGACGTGCAGGAGACGTTGGGTTGACCCTGCCGGACTCAAGCATCTTGATGAGAGGCCTGACGAAGCTCACAAAGAAGGTCTTGGAGGCGAACCGGGAGTTGACTTTCCGAGTTTCGTTGGCGAGGAGCACACTGCAGGTGGACTCGGTTCCGACCCATGCGACGGTGCTGCAGTATGCGGAACACTTGCTGGCGGAGCTGGAACAGACGGCCTTTTTGAGCGAGAAGAAGGCTCCGACGAAAACCAGCACGGCAGGAGGAGACACCAAGGTCCGGAAGCTGGAGGAGTCCAAAGAAGGCCGCGATGGAAAGGAAGGAAAAGAAGGCAAAGAAGGGAAGGGCGACGGAAAAGGAGGAGCAAAGGGGAAAACCCCCTGCCGGTTCTACATGTCCGACAGCGGCTGCCGGCGAGGTCGAGGATGTGATTGGTTGCACCCGACGGACGAGACGGCTCGAGGACGCTGCTGGGACTGTGGGTCGACGGAGCACATGCGGAAGGATTGCCCGCGCAAGGTCTCCAAGCCTGGAGGAGGAGAACGGACAACGGCACCGGCAGTGAAGCCATTCAAAGCTGAGGAGGCAAGAGGAGTGGCAGAAACTCAGTCGGTGGTGGACCAGGAGAATGACAAGGACAAGAAGAAGAAGGAGGTGGTGGTAGAGGAGACAGCTGCCAGCTCCGTTACCAAGGTGTTGGAGGAGGCGGGTAAGATGTTGAGGAGCCTCAACAAGACCAGCGGTGTGAAGAATGGGAAAGAAAGGGAAAATCGGCTCGAGATGTTGCAGAAGCAGCTGGACGAGATCCGAGGAGACCCAAGGCTGAATAAGGCCCAGGTGTCGAGTTTGAGCCGAGCCGTTGGTGGATTGCTGGACTCGGGGGCCACTCATCCACTCAGAGGATGCAAACCTTCGGAAGACCTTGACACCATGGACGAGGTAAGAGTAACCCTTGCCGGAGGTGAAGAGCGGTGGATGAGAATGAGCCCGGGAGGAATCATCATCCATGACGACCCGGACGTGGACCCGATCATTCCCTTGGGGGTGTTGATCAAAGCCCTTGGGTGCAAGGTGGAGTGGTCCGGCGTGGAATGTTCAGTGGAACACCCACGAAAAGGGAAGCTGAAGGTGACTATGAGAGATGAATGCCCCTATGTGGACAGGGCCGTGGCGATGAAGCTTCTCGACGAGCTGGAGGAGCTGAAGACAGAGAAGGATAAAGGTGAAGTGCTGGTACAGGCGCTGATTGAGAAGGAGAGTATCCAGCAGCTGGTGGATTCTCACCCGGTGTTCAAGGGAGTGCCCGACAAGGTGAAGGCCATGTTGGTGGAGGAGCCTGCAGAGGATCTTCGGCATCTACCCTGGAACCGGAGGAGGAGGAGGCTGTTGGAGAAAGGAGGAGATCCCCTCTGGTTGCACCTCTACGCAGGCGCAGAAGAAGGTTATACTCTGTCAAGAGCAGTGAAGGAGCTAGGAGGAGACAATCGGTTCCTGTTGGAGGTGGATATCCAGAGAGGAAAGGAGCACGACATGGTGCGAGGCCCGCTCTACGGCACGCTTTTGAGGCTGGCACAGGATGGGCGTCTGGCGGCAGTGGTTGGAGGACCAAACTGTCGAACGAGGAGTGTGCTGAGGCATTACCCGTTGCCGGAGGCTGGAGGAGGCCCGAGACCGGTGAGGGGGCCCGCGGTGCAGGAGCAGTTCGGGAAGGCAGACCTGACCGAGCACGAAGCTAAGGCGGTGTTCGAGGACGACGTGATGATGTGGAGGATGATGGTCATCTACCTGGCGGCGAAGAAGGCAGCACTACGAAAGGGAGGTGAAGAACCCCATTTCCTCGTGGAGCACCCAGCCAGCCCGGAGAAATATATGCCTGAGTGTTGGTCGTGGTGGCGAACGCCGCAGTGGAGGGCAATGAAAGAGAAGGAGGGCCTGAGTGAAATCACCTTCTTTCAGAGTGTGTTCGGAGGAAAGGCCGCGAAACCTACGACGATGGGCACGGACCTGGAGTTGGCGATCCCTGAGGAGAGCCAAAGCAGCAAAGAAAGGAGGTCTACCCGTACGACCAGAGCTGCAGCAGATGTGGAGGGCTCGAAGGAGCTTGCGAGATGGGCGCCGGGACTGATGCGGTCCGTCGCGAAGGCGTTGCTGGAAGCAACAGGAATCAAGACAGCAGTGAGAAAGCTGTCGTGGGCCGAGCATTTGGCCAACGGCCATACGCCATACAGGCGAGACTGTCGTGTATGCCAGGAAGCATCCGCACAGGGACGAGCACATCGGCGCATTGCTCATCCCCAGGCACACATCTTGTCTGTGGACTTGGCGGGACCTCTGCGTCGAGGGCACGACATCGACGGCAAGAGCTGTAGGTACTTCCTCATGGGTGCCTACACCCTACCTCGTGGTGGAAAGGAAGAGGTTTGGGACGAGGAGATCGACGGATTGGCTCCGGGGAGTTGGAAGGTCCCTCAACGGGTGCAAGCCATGCGGAGGTGGAAGAGGATTGATGAGAATGCGGTATCTTACCGAACCACCCGAAAAGGAGGACCACCCTGGAGGAGCGTGAAGTGGAGAGTCACCGTGGACAATGACACCGGTGAGGTTCTGGAAAGCGTGGAGGTGACGAACCTAGAAGAGGAAGACCTTCATCGACTCTTGGACAAGACCCGCAACCTGAGGACCATCCTGTTCTACGAAAAGGGGACCAAGGGCCAGGAGGGGGAGATCCAGGAGGAGAAAGGGAGGCTGGCGGACTACTGGACCAAGAGCATCGATGGGCGAATGGTCATCAGGGTGCACAAGTCCCACCGAAAAGGGAAGTTCTTCCCGGAGGAGGCTGAAGAGTGTCCGGTCCCCATAGACCAGCTGGCGGATGTGAGGCGCACGGTCGCGAGAAAGGCCAAAGGAGGTGCGTATGAGACGGTGACCGATGATTGGAGAACTGCAGGAGCTGGCGAGCGACTGTTCGAGGATGATTCAAGATGGGCAGGAAGAACAATCTTCATGATCAAAGGAGCGCCTGACCCACCGCCTCGACCAGAATTGGTGATAGAAGAAGAGGAGTACGAGCCGGAGTTGCCACCTCTGGAAGCAGGAGATTGGGACTTTGAGCTGGAAGATGAGGCCAAGGAGTTGGAGGACGCCCAGATGAACCCGGCTGAAGCTGAAGAAGAAGAGGAGGGAGGAGAAGACGAAGAAGGCCTTCCACCACTACCAGTGAAGACGCTGTGGTTCATGATACCTTTGGTGAGCAAGAGCTCGCGAGAGGTTTTGGAGGCGATCCAGCAGATGTACCTCGAGTTAAGACGGGAGAATCTTCCTCTAGCCCGACTTCACTCGGACTGCGGGCGCGAGTTCAAGAATAAGGTGTTGGCGAGCTGGTGCTTGGCAAGAGACATCGCCAAGACATCAACTGCAGGCGATGACTACCGCCAGAATGGCCGTGCGGAAAGGGCAATCAGGGGGCTGAAGGATCGGACCCGACGTCTACTCCACTCTGCTGAGATGGGAGGAGAATACTGGCCATGTGCGGCTAGATATGCAGTCGAGAAGGAGAAGAGGATCCGTCTTGGGAAGCCTGCCGATATGCCGAGATTTGGTCAGGAGGTGTTGGTGAAGAAGAGAACGTGGAAGAGAAAAGAGTGGGATCCATTGAACGAGAAGGCCTACTACATGACCCCGATCGCGGAGGTGCCAAGTGGGCATGCGGTCGTGAAGGATGATGGATCCATCCAAACAGCGGCGTATGTGCTGCACAAGTGGACTCCGATGCCAACGGAAGGGCCAGACTGGAGGTTGGTTGAGAGAGGAGCAGAAAAGCCCCCGCAAGATGAGGAGCCATATGAGCTGAGGAGAAGGGTGAGAGAGAAGACTCCAAGGGAGAAGTTAGAGGAGGATGGAGCGCTGAAGTATGTGAGAAGGCTGGCACAGCTTGCAGAAGAGGAGGAAAGGAACCTGCTCAAGGACGAGCCTGAGGTCGTGGATATCATCGTCAAGAGTATCCAGAGTTTGCGGGCAGAGGAGCAGACAGTCAGAGATGAGACCCCGGAGGCGAAGCTGCACCAGGAAGTGCTGCAGACCAAGATTGTATCGGGTCGGGAGGTGGAAGAGAACTTCGTTGAGTGGAAGGAAGCCATCGTGAAGGAGATGGATTCGCTCATGCTAGAAAAGAAGGCGTTGACGAGACTATCGCCGGAGGAGGCCAAGAGGCTGGTGAACTCGGACAAGAAGGTGCAAGTGCTGCCGGGAAAGGCGGTGTACACCTTGAAGCCGGGTCTGGAGGCCCGGAAGAAGTGCCGGCTGGTGGTGTGCGGAAACTATGGAGACAGCCATGATCAGCAGCAATTGTATGCCGGAGGCAGCGACAGCGTTGCGATGAGACTGGCGGTGAAGACGGCGGCGGTCAGATCATGGGGGGCTACGACACTGGATGTGAAGTGTGCTTTCCTGAATGCCCCGCTGGCAGCGGCTGATGACGAAGGGGAGGTCGTCATTGTGATGAAGCCCCCGCAGCTGCTGGTTCGTTTGGGATTGGTCAAGCCCGGCGAGATGTGGAAAGTGGAGCGAGCACTATATGGACTTAGGCAATCGCCGAGGCTGTGGTCGGACTACCGGGACGACACGATGGAGAAGTGGCGATGGAAGTGGGATGATGGATGGCTGAAGTTGCGGCAGCTGGAGTCTGAACCCAACTTGTGGAAGGTCATCTACGAGGAGAATGGCACGGAGGTCATGAAGGGCCTGGTTGTCGTGTACGTGGACGACATGCTGATACTGGCCAGCGATTCCGTGAGGAAAAGCCTGTGTGGCCAGATAAAGTCAGTGTGGGAAGTGTCGGCTCCGGAGGAGGTCGGAAGTGAAGCGGGAGTGAGGTTTTGTGGGATGGAGCTGTGGCTCGAGAAGGACGGCACCTACCTCCTCACTCAGGAGAACTACATCAAGGACCTCGTGGAGCGGAATGGCATCACGGGAAAGTCGGCAATCCCAATGTCCAAGGATATGGCAGAGCCGGAGGTAGAGAGCGAAATCACGGCGGAGGAAGTGCAAGCGGCTCAGAAGGTAGCCGGAGAACTGCTATGGGTGGTCACAAGAACAAGACCGGACCTGGCGTTCGTGACTTCCAGGCTGGCAAGCCACGTGACCCGAGCGCCAAGGTGGGTGCAGAAGGTGGGCCTCCAGGCGTTCAAGTTCCTCAACGGGACATCGGCGGTGGGACTCACATTCACCCCGGACACCGGCGTGGGTTGGGACGGAGCTGATCGGGCAGGTTTGCAGGTCTACACGGACTCGAGCTTCGCGCCAGGAGGAGCTCTGTCGCATGGTTGCGTGATGGTGAAGTGGCAGAACTCGGTGATCGCTTGGAAGTCCAGCAGACAAGGATTTCCGGCGCTGAGTACAGCCGAGTGCGAGCTCATGGAGATGATCGAAGGCGTTGTGATGGGGGACGCGGTAGACGTTCTCATCAACGAGATTGAGGAGGGCGCGAACTACATGCGGTACCTCTTCGGGGACAATCAGGCAGCGATTCAGCTGTGTGCAGAAAGCACGGGAGCTTGGCGCACACGTCATCTGCGCCTACGTGCCTTTCACCTTCGGTGGAGGATCCAAGCGGATGAATGGCGAGTTCGGCATTTGCCTGGAGTCGAGATGATCGCCGACGTGGGCACCAAGGCCTTGACAGGGGCAAAGCTGAAGGAGCTCATGAAGTTGATGGGCATGAAGGCGAAAGGGGAGAGTGAAGAGGACATTGAGAAGTCAGCTCTGGTGAGACTGGAGGTGAACAAGTGTCGAGGGCTGGTGGCGGTGTTGGGCTGCTGCATGCAAGTTCAAGGTGCGGCAGCCATGGAGGAGAATCCTGAGAAGAAGGATGGTAGTGGGGACTACGACCACTTGAAGGTCTTCGGCATGCTGGTGGCGGTGTTCACGGTCGCGGTCATGAAGCTGCTAGAGTTGCTGGCGGCAAAGGTACAAGAGCGATGGGGTGGACCGAGGATCCAGAGCATGCGAGTGGAGAAAGTCGAAGAGACAGAGGAGGTGGCTGCGTCATCGTCAACGGCTAGAGGGTCATCCACAAGGAGGACTACCCCGAGGCCTACCTCTTCGGTGGTGGATGAGCCGAGCCCTATGGCAAGACGGCCTTCTACGCCGAGATTGAATGTGGGATCTGAGCAGGATCCGTTGAGGTCCTCATCTGGTGCCGGGACTGGCTCAGGCGAGTTGGGGGCTACAGCCAAGAGGACGACGGCGGCACCATCTATGGCAAAGGGAATTGGAAAGACGCCTGTGGAGCCGAGGGGAACCGCGGCACGGAATGTGGACTGGATCGCGGTCACCAAGGGCTACAGCAAGGGCTACAGCAAGGGCTACAGCAAGGGCTACCACAAAGGAACGGGCAAACAGGCGACAGATCCTGGCAGGGACCTACGGCCTTGGTCGGAACCCCAGGCAGGATCGCGCGGAGCCGGTGCTGACGTCAACCCAGCATCGAGGGCCGCAGGGAGTGGTCACCAAGACATTCCCGAGCCTGAGTCGGAGGACGACGGAATCCCGGTGGAGCCTAGCGTGTTCTACACCATGACGGGCGAGAAGTACCATGCCCGCGAGAATTGCTATGGTTTGAGGAGGGCAACTCGGGTCATGGAGACCCTGCCATGCCCGGTGTGCACGACACCGGACTTCAGGCGGCTGCTCTTCGTTCATCCGGGAGCAGTGCACATCACAGGAGATGGCCTGTGGCATGTGCTGGAGACGTGCGCTGGGCGGGGAGTGACCTATCAGCCCTGCGCGAATTGCAGGAGAGGAGAGGTTCAGCGCGGCTTGAGCTAGCCCCGAAAAGGGGCGACGTTTTGACCTTAGCCCGAAAAGAGGGCAGCATTTTGTAGCAGTGCGAGCCTGGCGGCAAGGCACTGGGAGGAGTCTAGGAATACCTGGAAGCCGTTTGTGTTCAAGAAAAAGGGCGCGTAGCTGAAACCTGGGTTTACAATTATAATTCACCCGGATTATTTCCATTTGTTTAAGAATGTTGTTTTCTTTCCCCTGTTGGTTGTGAAAGGAATCGATTTTTCCCAGGGGGCTTAAGCAAATGGAAGATTAGTTTTAATACAGGGTCCGACATGGACATCCTGCAGGTCGGGATTCATGTCCACCAACCAGTTTTGAAGCGGCTCCAACCACTTGCCAAATGCTATCGAAATATGTAGAAACGAATTGAAGCGGTTTTTTCCCGGTCCTGCTCCTGCGTTGGGTGGTTTCAACATCACCCTTTGCGCCCAACAAATTCCTTTTGGGTGGTTGAGTCATCTCCTTTATTAAGCACCCCCGTTTCCATTGGTGGTTTAACCACCAGCTTTTTGGACTAGTGTCCACGTCAGCTTTTGTGCCCAGCACCATCCTTGCGGGTTCTTTAAGCATCACCTAGATTCAACCTGTCGCATTTTGGGCTTAAACATCCGTGTTTTGTTGAAGTACCATTCTTTGAGATAGGGGTGATAGGGGTTATCCGCTACTCCCTCCAGATCCTCTCGCATTTGGGATACCTGAAGGAAGCAAACATGGGCTTGTCTCAAAATAGGGGAGCTTCAAAATGGGTCGCTTTCTTTTGGTTTCCCTATAAAACTATCCAAATAGGTACCCTCACAAAACATATATATATATATACACTTCCATTTGGTTAAGAGCATTTTTCATTTCCCCCTGTTGGTTTTAAAGGGAATCTATGACTACTGGAAATATTTTTAGGACTTAAACATTAAATGGAGGTATACATCTGCACACAGCTCGTCGTGCGCCAAACAGAGGACTCGGAACGGCCCTCACCGCGTGCCCGAGTTCTCTTGCTGCCAGGCGAACGGCCGTGCTTCCCGGCCTTTGTCGAGGCGCCTTTTTTCGCTGTTCGAGTCGCCGAGTCGCCTTTGCATCAT